CAAGGCGCACTTGCAGATATTTGTCTTGAGTTCCCTGACAGGTAGATATGCAGTTTGATATGAAAGTGTGGATGAACTCCGAAGGTAACGCGACGAGGGCAGCTACTCGATTTACTACCTCCATTGAGTTTACAGTAATATTCATTTTCACCAGGGACGATAAATATCTAGAAAAAGGAGGTAACTGTAACGTTGGGAATTACGGCACCAAAATAAAGTTAGTTTTATATAAGTCTTTGATATTAACTTTACTTTAAGGTTCATATAGTCCTTGAGAAGACTATCATTCTTAATCATCCTAGACCTCAATGCCCGATGTACTACTACCGATGGTCTTCCTTAGTTCGGTAGGCCCCTGACTGCATTCCTTTTTAATGGATTTCCTCATTTCGTTTAGACACGTACCTGGCCTGTTAACATAGGCTCGGGAACCCTTAGATTACGATTTTATGTTTTCAGTTTTAACGTACCAAATGCGGACCTGAACTGAATATCAGTAATGTGATGGTCAAAAAACTGCTGCACATTGGAATTCTGTAACTATTCATCGTACTCACGTGTTAACCTCGGGGGTAGATATTAAGCCGAGAAGGATTTCAATGGCCACGACGGGATTCCGATTTACAAGATTTGCAAACTAAAATTGAAGAATTGATGGGCGTAATAATGTCAAGAGCATAGAGGAAGGAATATTGCACACTACCAGAAGTCGTCGGGAGACTAGGACAACTCACGTTTTCGGAGGTAAGGCCAAGGCTGGGGATGAGGTTAGGATCTTCCTTTATAGACTGAACCATAATTTGTTGCTGGGCGTGAGTTAGGGCCGAAGTGAGAGCAATGGACATAAGTTGGCGTAGCTACAGATCAAGGACGGGAAGATAGGCAGAAATTTTACTCGGCTTAACTATGGAAGTAACTGCCGTTACAGGACAGTTAAAAGTACAATAAACGCAGACATTTAAAATGAGAAAATTAACAATATTTCAGGCGGATTACGAAATAGGAACGTAACAAACAC